CTGAGACAAAGTACTTAACATACACAACTTAAAGGAGAAAGGGCTTACAGTGGCTCACAGCTTCACAGGTTCAGCTGCCTCTATGATAAGAGCATCATGGCGGAAGGGCACTGCAGAGGCAAGCTGCCCAACTGTGGCACTCAAGAAGAACAAAGAGCAGCAGCAGAGCCAGAAGGGAGGAAGGGGCCATGACCAGCTGTGGTCCCCATGGTCATGGCCCACCCAGGCACACTCTGGTGTGCTTTACTAATCTCCTGAGCAGGGGCTGGGGAGATAGCTCAGTTGAATAAGTGCTTGCCTGGCAAGTGCAAGGTCATGAGTTCACTTCCCAGCTCCACAAAAAAAAAAAAAAAAAAAAAAAATCTCCTGAGCATCTCTAATACCGGTCAAGTTGGTCAACATGAATACGCATGACAAGCCAGGCATGGTGGCACATGCCAGAACTTTGGGAGGCTCAGGCAGGAGGATCATGAGTTCAAACTCAGACTGGGCAATTTAGAGACTTAGTAAGACTGTCTCAAAAAAAAAAAAAAAAAAAAAAGATTAAAAAGCCTGGAGATGAGAAGGCCCTAAGTGCAATGAGAAAGAGAGACAGAGAGAATAATAATTATGATATTATGAGTGTATATGTTATTTTTAAAAATGTAACATATAATAGCTTACCCCAGGAATGCAAGTGTGGTCCAACATAAGAAAAATAATTGAAATAATATACCACATTAAGGGCTGGCCAAGTAGCTCAGAGGATTAAAGAGCCTGCAAGCAGGCATAGGGGCTGGGGATTTAATCTCCCAGCCTTCTGTACCGGCCTCGACCCCGGGGCACATTGAGATGGCAATTGAGACTGTGTGTGGTGGCATGTGCCTGTAATCCCAGCTCTTGGGAGGCTGTAAACAGGCGGATCACTACAAGTCCAATCTTGTCGTGAGACCCTGAACACCCTGTAGACCCTTCCCAAAAAAAATACAAAAAAAAAAAAAAAAGAAAAGAAAAGAAAAAGAAATAATATTGAATAAAATGAAGGAAAACACAAAAGTCACATGATTATTTCAAGTGATGCCTAAAACAGCATTTGACAAGAGCCAACACCTTTTATCAATAAAAACACTTAGAAAATTAGAGATAAATGGGAATTTCCTCCACATGACAAAAGACATTTATGAAAACCCCCAGCAACCATCACACTTGAGAGTGAAAGACCAAAAGCTTCCCCCTCAGATGGGGAACAAGAGTGTAGGTAGGTGCCTGCTTTCGCTGCTGCTATTCAACACCATACTGAAAGTTCAAGTGGGAACAGCAAAAGGATACGTAATTGGGATGGAGGAAGTAAAAATCATCTGTATTCATAATGGATATGATCTTATGCATGGGAACTCCCAAATAATCCGCATATAAACTATTTTACTTTTTTTTTTTTTGGCGGAACTGGGAATTGAACCTAATTATGCCCTTGCACTTGCCAGGCAAGTGCTTATTCTACTGAGCCATCTCCCCGGCCCCAAAAGTGAAGAAGGATTGTTTTATTTTGTTTTTTTGGTGGGCTCAGGATGGCTTCAGGGCAGTTCTGGTTTGGCTTGAGGACCTGGGGATCAAACCACAGCATTCTGAGCCTGACTGCTTTGTTTAAGCAGGCACTTAAACAACTGAGCTAACAGGCAGGTCCCCATATAAACTATTTTAGAGGTAGAAGATCAACATACAAAAATCACTTGTGTTTCTATACGCCAACAATGAACAATCCTAAAGGGAAATTAAGAAACAATTTCATAGAGGAAAAATTTCAGAGCATCTGAGGACTGGACATCAGAATGGTCTTGCAGTCCTTTGAAGTGGAAACATCTTGTTATATTAATGGTCCTTGGCAGAGGCATCCGCATCCATGCCTTTAATTTTTCATGCATATTAGTGCATCTCATATTAAAATTAAGTAGAGCAAATAGATTTGATGAGGATGGTAGTGCAGACTGCACAGGACAAGTGTGAGAAGCTGAGCCACATCTACGGACCCATCAGAGTGCCCTGGGTCTCAGCCTTCCTGCCTCTCCTCACGTCCCAAGAGTCACAGGAAGCAGGAAAGTAAAACCCCAGGCCCCTTGGAGGAAATCAGGTCTGAGTCAGCCTCCCAAGGAGGTGGAAGAAACAGGAGGCCCCAGGAAACTATTTACTGAGGAGGGATGTTTTTCACTTAAAAGCTGGTGGGATTATTTTTTTGATCAAAGAAGGAACTAAAAGTGTATGTATGTACGTATTTTGGTAACTAGGGCCCAGAATGATGAAGTTTGCCAAGTACTGCCATATTTCTTAGATCTCTGTGTTCCAGAGACTAAAAGCTGGGTCTATCACAGAAATAGCTTTTCTTACCCCTTGCTGTTTTCCTGTTCCTCTCTCTTGCTAACAGCTAAGTAACATCTGCTGAGAGCTGTGGATACAAACACCAGGGAGAGAAAGCTGAGTGCGAGTGGAGGAGGCTATTTGCTGAAAGTGAATGAGCCATGGACAGGGAGCCAGAAGACCTGCGCTCCGTCTGGGCTGGCCTCTGCAGCAGCAAGCGCCACAGCTGTGTGGCCAGGAGCCCAGCCTTTCCTGCAGGACGCCTGGATTCTCCTCTGTGAGGGAAGGAGGCAGGGCCGGGGTGGGGAGGGTGGAGATCCTTTCAACTTTAATATTCTAGTTTTTCATAAACAAACCCTTTAAGAATTCAAAAGAACTTTAAAAGACGGAGGAAGTGACATTGTTTGAAAATAGATGAAAAGCGAGACAAATATGAAAAGATGAGCAGGAGACTTTTTACTCCGGGACATCTTTTTCTACTGCGCCAAAGCTGAGTTGGTAGAGAATCACATGGACTTTGGTGCATGGGGTGGGGGTCATATTAGGCAAGAGGAGGACAAAGAGCCAAACAGCACTCCTGGCTCACCAGGGAAGTCAGATCCCAGCAGGTCCCAGCAACTGGCCTCATTATGGACCCTATCTGGGAGGACAGAGAATACACATAGACAGACAGACAGACAGACAGACAGACAGACACACACACACACACACACACACCCCACAAACCAAACACCTCCCTAAGAATGAATAAATAGAAATTGATGTGGGCCTATGGGTGGCACTTAGATTTGTTTTCCCAGTCTTACTTATTGGGTTTCGTTTCTTCTTTTTTTTGGGGGGGGGAGGGGTTTGTTTCTTTATTTAACTTCTTTCATTTTGTTTTGTTTGAGACAGGGTCTCCCTATGTAGTTCAGGGTGGTTTTGAACTCACTATGTAGCCCAAGATGGCCTCAAACTCATGCCAATCCTCCTGCCTCAGCCTCCCTAATGTTCAGATTACAGGCATGAGCCACCACACCTAGCCAGTTTTATTAATTCAGCAAACATTTATAAAGTGCCTACTGTGCGCTGGGTATCACCCGTACTTAGATAGGGTATTTGGTTAGAGGACATTCATAGAGAAATAAGGCTTGTGCACAAATATCTAAAACACAAAGCAAAATGTGAGACCTTCCCCAACGGAGTTTGACTAAACTACTGGAATAGTTCTGATTAGGGGCTTTCCTCTTAGCAGGTGAGCTCAGGCAACTATAGGTTGAAGCAAAGATCTGCAAAACCATCTTCGTTCTTCGAGCAATACCGACTCCCCTGGCTCCACTTTACAAACGTGACAACCACGGCAGAACGGTGAGGAATTATTTGCTCTCTGATCATCCAGTGCGTTGGCCACACAGTCAGAAAGAGTATTACAAACTGATTGAAAACTTCCCCTAAAAGCAACAGAGAACTGTATGTGCTTTATACAGTATATAGCTCCTGCTGGAGAGGAAGTCCACAGCGATGGCATTCCCTGTCTCCATTCAAAATAAATCTAAAGATGCATCAGACAAATTCAAAGGGGGATTTAAAAAAACTCATGAGTGAGCCGGAGTCACATATATACTTGGCCTAAGGGGGCGAAGCTCTGCCTATGCGTTGAAGTCCTCCCGTCCCATTATAAGTTGAGTTGTACAGGACCAATGTGGGGGAGGCAAGAGACCATCCACAAAGTGAAAACCAAAGCAAGCCCAGGGCCCTTGGCAGGGCAGACTGGCCAGATTTCTCCGCAGTGAATTTGAACGAGCCAATGAGCCAATGGTATCCCAAACGCTGAAACAGGAAGCCAGATAAACAGTATGTTATCAAGGGGGGATCCAACGCTTCCTTTAAGCCAGCGCCAGCTGCGCCCTGTGACTGCCCTAACAAAGTGCCATTGACATACCAGCTGATTTTCCTGCATTTGGTTGGGGTTGGTGGGGGTGGTGCAGAGCCCTCTCTGCTGAGTGGCCTTTCCCCTAGCACACTGCCCACCACCCACTACCCAGTTCCTCCGAAGATCTGCCTAAGCCCTCTTCCCATGTCCTGTTTTCATAGACCCTGAGGATTAGCAGGGACCACAGGCCCCAGGCACCTTCGCCCTTAGGTGAGAGTCTAGCATCCCGCTCACCAAATCCCTCCTTTCTCCTCCCTCTATTCTCCTCCGGGAAGCTTTTTCAGCTCCCAGACACCTTGGGCGGATGCCAGAGAAGGCAGCTTGGGTAGGTAGGGCCAGAGAGTGCTCCTCCGTGCATCCTGGGCGCTGCGAACACTTTCTGGAGTGCCGGCAAGGTCACCTGCCCTGGTTGTCCCATTCACTCCTGGTAAGCAGAGTTAACTCGCTCTTCAAAAAAACCGAGAGAAGACGGGGCTTCGTGTTTCACAGGCAGGGAAACTGAGGCTCAGAAGGGGTGGGGAACTCTGGAGAGTCACCTCCAGAATTAGACGCAGTCTGTCGGGACAGCTTGGCACACTCCTCCCCTGAAGCCACTCACATCTCTGCTGTTACTCCAGCGCTTCTCACGAGCCCAGCCCGCAGCCTCCCCAGGACTAGCCGGCTCTCCTCCCCTGGGCTCGCCGACCCCTCCGGCCCCGCCACGGTCCTGCGAAGTGCGAACCTGCGGTCCCCGCACCCTGCGCCGGGCGCAACTCACCTTCTCGTGCGTCCTCCCGGGCTCGGGGTTCGCGCCGCAGCCCCAGCCGCCTTCGCGGCGCACGGACGCGCATCGCTTGGGGCAGCGCCGGGGCGGGCGTCCTTTCCTCCCGCCAGGAAGTTTCCCCGGGGCTCCCCAAGCCGGGTCGCCCCTTGCACGAGGCTCAGCGTGCTCGCTGCTTCCTGGCCTCAGGCCTCTCCCACTGGCCGCCTCTGGCCCCGGCCCCACAGTGAGAAGGAGGCGGCATCCTGAACAAAGTGCCGTCCCCGCGGCCAGGCGGCGGGGCGGAGCCTCGTGACCCGCTGCCCCAGGCACACGCCGGCGGCCCGCGCGCAGCCGGGGGAGGGGAGCGGCGGGCCGGCCGGGCTGGCCCGGGCTGCGGGAGGGGACGCAGAGCCGCGGGTCGCCCGCTCCCCCCACCCGGTGCCAGTTTAACCCGCAGAGGGGCGGAGGCCTGGGTGCCTTCCAGACTTTGTCATTGGAAAGCTATTCCCGTAACCCTTTCCTGCCTTAGTCTACCGCCCCGCCTCCCCGGCCAGCGGCAGCGAGGCAGCTGCGGGGTGGCGGTGCTTGGGCCGCGAGCTGTCAGGGCAGGAAGTCTTTGCACAATTGAGCTTTTCCTCTGCCCAGGGACCTGCCACCGCCACTTCCAGCCAGGGGTGCCCACCCTCTTCCCCACACGTCCTCCTTTTGCCCGTGGTCAACTGTTCTTTTGGAGAAGGGGACCGATGGCTGGTGAACAACCCTCTCTGCTTCTGAGTACACCGCTTGCTGTCTTCCACTCTGGGCCCCACTAAGCATTATGCTCTCAGACCTGGGACCCGTGGATGCTGAGGACAGGACAGGCCTGAAAGTGCCTGGCAAATAGTATGTGTTAAGTAAAACAAGTGACTTTCCCCCACCTTTCAGACCCATCTACTGGCCCTCTTTCTTCCAGAAAAGTGGGATAGGAGTTAGGAAGGGAAAGGAAAAAGGACATAACAGGACCTTAAGGTAATGCATGGCGAGGTTCTCAACCAGGGCCTAGTGCAACCTGTCTGAAGTGCTAAGAGTACAGACTGCCCTTCCCCTCGCCTGGAGGTTCCAGGCAGGCTCTGCAGCACAAGGGCAGGAGATTGGCTGCTGTGCCTCTGGAGTAGACTGTGAGCTATGTGTATAAATAGAGTAACAGTGCCCATGGATCCAGCAGATTGGACCAGACTCTTCCCCAGCTCCAGCAACAATGAGGCCTCATTTTTTTCCAGAGTGTTAAGGTTGGAGGTTGAGGTGGCGGGAGCAAATTGATTCCTCCCTAGGAGATCTCCATGCTCTTTTCTAGCCAGATCAGACAGCCCATTGGGAGCAAAGCCAGAGCTGAAGCCCCTGAGACCTGCTGGAGCCCTCACAAATCCTTCAGTACAGGGGCCATTGACATAAGGGAGAGATAGTGACACTAAACAATAACTTTGAAGATATTCTCAATTGATCAGAAAAAAGGATTTTCATATGATTTTTTTCCATGAAGAGAATGAGCTGCCCTTTTTTGAGACAAAGTCTTACTATATAGCCCAGAGATTGACCTCACAGTGATTGTTGCATCTCAGCTTCCCTAAGTACTAGGATTATAGGCATGCACCACCATACCAGGCTAAGATGTCTTTTAGTGAGGTAAGGGGGCTGCAGAAAGACCCTTGAGATGAGCCCCTTTCTTGTATATAATGGCTAAAAGTGGGGCTCCTTAAGGGAGACTGCCTGGACCTACTATTTATAAACCACAAGCATTTGAACAAAATCTTCAACCCCTGACTTCCTTAGTTTGTTCATCTGTAAAATGGGATAGTAATAGTGTAAAATTACTGGAAAGATAAATGGTATGCTACAGGTGACACCTAAAATAGTGCCTGGAAAATACTCAATAAATGTTAGCTGCTACGTTGATCTCTGGTAACCCTGTATGCCTTTTGGCATTCAATGATGTGCTAACAGGAACCCTTTCTGGCTTTTCATAGTTCTCTCAGCCTGCATAGCAGAGCCTGGTGCTTTAGAAGGAACCATTGTCCTTTTTTGAGGGCTCAAAGGATGGGGGCAACTGAGCATGTTGGCCATCCTAAGCCCAAGGACAAAGGGCCATGCAGTTAGGTATGCAAATGGACACAAGAGGCGTAACTGGTCTTGACTTACTGTGAAGCTAGATGCCAGGCTCTGATCAACCCACACTGGTAATGTTATAGGCATAACCCTGTTCTCTCGGTACCACCCAGAGTAGAAAAGGTCACATGTTCTAAGGAGGAGGTCTCTTGCATCTGTATGTAGGATCGATATTGCTCTCCCATGGAAGAGAGGGTGGTCATGTAAGTCCTCCCTAGCCCTGGTCCAAATGTCCCAATCACAGCCCTCCAACAGTGAACTTGGACCTATAAGCAAATATAAGAGCAGGCAGATGGGTTGGGGGAGGGGGCCAGTCTGGTTGTAGTGACAGAGGATACAAAGGCTCCAGAGATGGGATAAAACTGTGGCAGGGAGGAGAAGCCAGAATTGACTATGGGCAGAGTACAGTTTGGATAAGAAGCAGGGTCCCTGCCTGCCCACCCCAGCAGTGGTGTCTGCCAAATGTCCACCTTGTGAGTAGTTTTTTTGTTCACACAGTGATGACTCAGTTGGTCTGAATCAAGCAAATGGATTTTCCTTAAATATGAAAATCAATAAAAGGTAAAGGCAATGCCCTGGCTCTGGGGACAGAGGGTGGAGTGAGCCGGAAAGGAACTAGGGAGTAAAAGAAAGGGAAGGATGCAGGCTCACTGCAGGGGGACCCTTGGCATGGTCCCTGAGCCCCACCCCCACTGAGAAGGTGGCTTCCAGCCCTGTGGATCTCACTGTGGCACCCTAAAACACAGGTTTTAGCTCTTTGCTCCCCATCCCCCATCCTCCACACCCCAGAACCAATCCTGCTCCCAGGCCAGGAGATTGTTAACAAGAGGATTACTGTCAGTGTGACACATGGGTTTTAAAAAATCAGCCCAGAAGCTCATAGCCACGCCCACAGAGACTCAGACCTCGTGTGAGATTGGATGAGAACGTTGGGAGCCCCAAGAAGCACAGCAAATGCTTGTTTAGCTACAGCCTGGTTTCTTTGGGGACTCTGCCTGTTTTTCTGCCACCTTGAGCTCTGTGGACTAATGCTAATTTGTTTCACTGCTTGGATTATCTGATGTGGGACTTCAGGGATTTGAACAGAGTCAAAGCTCCTGCATTTCAGGCGACCCTTCTGACTCTTGTCCAGGGCTGGCAGAGCAGTTTGTAATGCCCTTTGCAGGGATGGGAAGACAGTGACAGTGCATCGCTTTGTTTTCTTGAGCATGTAGAAAACGTCATTAGCACTCCTGAGGTGGAGTCAGAGGAGCTTCTGACCTTCTCCTGGGAAGCTAGTGGAAAAACACTGGCTCAGGCTGCAGAGGGCTTCATTCCGTGCTTCTCTTGTGCCACCTGCTGAAATGCTTCACCCTAGTTTGTTCATGGGTGAGAGGGGTGTTGACACCCAGGGGACAGCCATACCCACCTGCCAGGGCTGTGGTGAATATCCGGTGAGATAATGGAGAGAAAAAGGTTTACATAATGCGACTCGAGTCTAAGCAGAAGTGCAATGATCACCCAGAAAGCTTCAGCTCACCCCAGCTCCACCCCACTACCCACCCCAGGCCACTTCGCCCTGGTTGTTGGCTCCATGCTCGAAAGCCCATTTCTGAGTGACACAAAGTTGTCCACCTAGAACCCTTGTCCCTTCTGATTCATTAGCCAACCGGGCAGCTGCCGGTGCTACGGGTGGGGCGGGCCCGTCTGCCATCATGGGTGGGGCCTGTTGAGGCTTTAAAAAGGGCTCCCTGTTGGTTGCTGCAGTTTATGAGGACACAGGAGAAACGGTCCATGGGGAGAAGCTGGCACAGTAATGAATGTTTTACGAGAGCAGCGAGTCACTGCCTTATCGGGAAGATGCTGCTTCTCCCTCAGAAACAGCTCGGTTACCAGGAAGTGAGATGAGCTGAGAGCCAGCGCAGTGTTTTTCCAAAGATGGCCTTTGAGGAGGAGTGTTTCTTTAAGGGACCAGGAGAGTGCAGACGGGTTGGCAGGAAGAAGTGGGGCCCTTTAAGAAGCCTGGCTCTGCCTGTACAGTCCTGGGGAAGACAATGGTAGTCCCTATTTATACAGTGCTTGTCACGCACTAGCAGTTACTCTGTGCTCTTCACCTATATTAATGCAGAGTCTCACAGCAAGTTTATGTAACAGGCATCAATTTTTGTCCTTTTGTTTAATTTTTAAAATTTAAATAAAATTTATTTATTTATTTATTTATTTATTTATTTATTTATTTGAAGAGATAGGCCTCACTTTGTTGCCCAGGCTGGCCTTGAACTCCTCAGTTTAAATCATCCTCCTATCTCAGCTTCCTGAAAAATGAACACCACCACACCCAGCCATGTGTATCAGTTTTGTCTACATTTTATGGGTAAACAAGGGGAGAGCAAGTATCTTTCTGAGTCTAACGGCCAGTTAAGTGATAGAGCCTGGCTTGGGACCCAACCCACCTCCTCTCTCATCCATTGCTTTCCTCTTCATATAGGTAGGAAGGGACAGTCCATTGTAGGGTGGGGTAGTGGTGAAGGCTGCACGATTTACTAGCTGCAGCAATTTTTCTTTCTTTCTTTTCAATAGCATGATTGTGGTACAATTTACATACTATAAAATCTGCCCATTGCAATATACAACCCTATGGTTGCAGTAAACCTACAGTTTTGTAGTTATCACCACAACCAACTTTCAGAATATTTCCAGTTTTCTCATTCAGTACATGTTTTAATCTGAGTTGCAGTTTCCCCATCTGCAAAATGAGAATAATGTCCGTGTTATGAGCATAAAATGAATATGGTGATGGGATCATCATCATCATGTTCTCCTGCAGTCATTTAAATACAGACTTTTAGAATCAACAGTGGTTTGAATGACTAGCTGATCTCACCCTTAGATAAAGTGTCTAAGTGCCAAGTAGGCCAGCAATTTGTCAATGAAGCATATGTTAGGGCCGGGGAGATAGCTCAGTAGAGTAAGTGCTTGCCTGGCAAGCTCAAGGACCTGAGTTCGATCCCCGGTTCCACCAAAAAAAAAAAAAGCATATGCAGTAAACTTAGTGATGGGCTTCAAACTGTAGCTCAATTCTCTTAGTTGGTGTATCTATGCTTTCTTG